ATCTGAATTGCTGTCCAAAACATCAATTTCCTTCTTGACTGCAGTGAATGTCTAGAGCACAATCACGATGACCCCACCCAATAGGATGTAAGATAAGGATCTAAGGTAAGACTTTTGTATGGAGAAATTTTTTTAAAAAAGGTCTGAGGGTGATTTTAGAACCTGGGTCTTCCGCCATAATAGGGTCTGACAAATGGCGGACCTACCGTTAAATACTTTAGTTTGATTCCAAAATGTTACTTATGCAACCCAGGATGTAGAGAGTGCAGACGCCATGTTCACAAGTCAATTGTGAACCAAAGGATTGACATGCGCGACCCGGTTATCAGTTGGATGGTTCTTTGACTGTAAAATAGGCAACTTATAAATATTCCAAATCTCATCTAACAGGATTAGTAATCTTCCCATTTAATGTGATTTGAACAAAGGACTTACTTCAGAACAACAAGCTCGATACTTATAAATATTCCAAATCTCATCTAACAGGATTAGTAATCTCCCATTCAATGTGATTTGAACAAAGTACTTACTTCCAAATAACAAGCTCGATACCTTGTCTTGTCTTGCTGCTGTATTGAACTATGATGTGACCGTATTGGTGGAATAGGCAAGTCAGAAATATTCCGAATCTCAATTTTAGCAGGGCAGGTCCAAGATGAACCCCACTCCCCTCCTGCTTTCAAACAATGTTGATTGTTGCATTTATCGATACATTTCATGTCTTGTTTGCTGCGGTAGTGAATGCAAACAATGCTTTGGCCATAGAATAGGCATTTATGCTGTACAGTAGCAAGATCAATCACCCTCCACTCCATCAGCTTTCAAACAATGTGGATTGTTGCATTCTTCTTGCCGAATTCATAACGTTGTTGCTTGTTCTTCAAAGACTACTGTATCAAGCTTGTTCTTCAAAGACTACTATATCAAGCAGGTCACGACAAGCAGGTAACGGCGAATTTATTGAAACCTTCTTGTCTTCTTTGCTGCGGTATTGAATGCAAACGATTTGACCGACCATTGAAAAGGCAAAACATTCAAAATCTCGTTTAAGCAGTGCAGTAGCAAGATAATCCCACTCTGCTTTTGCTTTCTAGTGGATTGTTGGATTGCTTCATTCTAATCAATCGGCATCTACTCAGATCGAGAGCGCCAATGCAGATTTGTTAGAACTCATCGCTTCTTCATTGATGCCCCTGATGTACACGATGTTATGTTTCTGGCTCCTGGCTGTTTTGCATCATGGCTATTTAGCGTCTGTTGTGGTCAGTGTCGTGTGCTGTCCTGCTCCATTGCTCTTGTTGCTCGTTGGAGGCTCGTGATCGAAGTGTTGTCGATGGAAACAATGATGATGACACGCACTATGTATGGTACGATGCTTGAAACTAGCTCCCGTCAAACACGGTACCAAAATGGACGAAAAATGGGCTTTTACACCATGCTGGTGGAGCAGTTTATACTAGATCCCCCGAGGAAAAAAGAAGGGGAAGAGGAAGAGAAAAAGGAAAAGAAAGAAAAAACGAAAAGAGAAGAAACGAAGAGAAAGGTATAGGAACGCAATGAAGGGGCTCTACAACACAACACTTGCCTCGTGTATAGCATCAGAAGACGATATACTCTATGATCCTGGCGATAGCCAGGATTTAAAACGATCTGAAATAAGGTAACAATCAATGAGTGTTGATGTGATGATCGCTTCGCATGAATTCATTGAAATGATGCCCAAGCACCTCTAATAACAGCGTAGTCTAAACTATGTCAGAGATTCGATAAACAATGAGACTTATCGTACTGTGAATTTGGATATCTCGAATACTTCAAGTTGCGGATCATGCCGTCATACATGAGAGACGAAGTTTGATTTTGAGTCGACAACAAACCATTTGAAAGTAATGTGAACCAGGGCATGAACAAAAACGCAACGCCGCCAACTGGCATCAGCGTCATGTTTTCGATGAAAACTTAACTTATGCGAGGCTCGCGACAAAGAGACAGCATTGGATTCGATCCGCAGATTATCCCATACTTATATGATGTGCTAAATCAGTATTTTGAGGACCAGCAAGAAAGATGAAAAAGGGCCAACGAAGAAAGATCGATGTCATCCAGAAGAGACTACAGAGGTATAGAACGATTGAGGAAATCCAACAATAAACAGGTCTTGAGTAAAAGTCCAAGGAGAAAGCATAGACAATACTCTTTTTGGGCTCCTACTACTTGATGGCCAAGTGTCAAGGACGCGCCAAACAGTCTACTACCGCATGATGATAGAGGATATTTTCAGATACTATTGTCGCATATTTGGTTCTGACGAGAAAACAATGAACAAGGAGACTTGGTGGACCACCTGATTAAGACAATGGTTTGATTGTGGAGATGAAGAAACCGTCTAGTAGATATAGCATTTGAATTCAGGAGCCTCCTACTGCCATGAGGGACTACTAAACGATACTAGTCAATATATGCTCTATTAATAACTAGAAGGTTGAAAACATTTTCTGACGTTGGGAGTTTTTTCCATCACCGCTTGTAGTGGTAGTGACTAATTTCCGGTTGCCTTCCCCCAACCATCACCATTTTAGGTAGTTTTAGGAGTCATCCTAGGGGAGCTATAGCAGATTCTCATTATATCCAATGCGAAGGTTGGTCGTTAAGATAAAGTGCAACAGTGCTTATTTTAAGGCAGAGAGGCATACTGCTAGGGCCGTGTCTTACTGTCCCCCTTATCACCATTTCAATGGGTTGGGACAGTACTAATTTAGTGGGGATAGTCTATTTTTAGTGAATGGCCCGCTGTGATTGGCTCAGACCACTAAAAATGGGTTGATTTTTAGTGATTCGACTAGCTCTCATTGGCTGAAAACCCACTAAAAATCCCACCAGCATATTGTAAGACCGGCACTAGCGGACTGCAGAAACCTTTAGTCCCGGGTGAAAATAATGTACCGGTAGTCATGGGAAATCGCGTCAAATATCGCGGGGATGAAATAAAATGAAAAGGGGGAATTCCCACTGGCTCACTTCTACAAAATTTGGCAGGACATAGAAATTTTCATACAAATATACATTGGGCAAAATTGGTCAGCACAATCTAGCAAGAGACAAGTTGGAAGTTCATGACATTAAAATCAAGACGCTCTCAGCTGTGCTGTCTCTTGCTGATGATGGTTGTTTTTGTTACAACCTTACAAGGGAAGTCCTGCACCAGTTTCACGAACGATGCAGAGAAATATTCATATCCACCTAATTTTTTCCATCCGATATTTGTGTACCACGGACCTGGGAATGCAATCAAAACTCTTCGGAAAAACTCACCGCAGTCAAAACACGACGGTAGCCAGGCAAATCAAGACGTTATTGTCTCGGCCCTGACCAGTGAACTACATACGATGAAAGTGAATCCTGGAGTTCGCGCCCCCTATTATTTTGTTGATTTAGCTTCGAACGATGCAATAGACATATCGAATACAGTGCGTTTGGAAGAAGAAGGATGGAATGGACTTTGTGTTGGTAAGTGATTCATATCACTATAAATTGCTCTACATGTATGCCTTCCTAATTTTATTGAAGAACCAAATCCTGTATATTGGTATCGTCTGGCACATCGGAAATGCCGTATGGCTGGAACATTTGTTGGGGGGAATGTTGATGGTGCGCCTGTAGATGTCACGCTGGAAAATAAGGCATTCGGAGGAATCGTTGGTGACGAAATGGACAATAAACCCTCATCTGGTGCCGTTATCCAGAAGCGTTTCACTATCAGCATCAAAACGTTGTTTGAGTCATTTGCAGTACCCTCTACAATCAATTACATGTCGTTAGACGTAGAAGGTGCCGAAGAAATCATTTTGGAAAGTTTCCCTTTCGATTCTTATCGCATTTGCATTCTGACAGTTGAACGGCCAAACCTCAATGTGCAAGCAACCCTGAAGTCACATGGCTACCTTTTCGTCTCCACGTTAATGTATTTTGGAGAAACACTGTGGATCCACCAGAGTATTCTATCAATTCTTGACATGTCAAGGATTCTGACTATTGTGGCTACTCTGCGAAAAAACAAACGACCCAAAAAGGGAGAACTTGTATTCGACATGGAATCAGGAGTAAATCATGTGTTCGATGGAATTTGACACGGCAACGCACGCATGTCCGTTAATTGTTAAAAATGTTTTTTGGAACGTTAAGTGTTCGTTTCCATTTTAGCGCGGGCGCACTATGGAAATCGGGAAATCCCGTGTGTCAAATTGACGCAAATTTGCGTCAAAATGACGCGTGACGCACGAACCTGCGTCAAATTGTGTCAGTCCTGCTGGAACCCCCGACACTCTGCGTCTGCTCGTCATCCGTCTCTCTGCCGTCTTTAAGCAGTTTGATGCAGGACGGGAGTATCAGCACGGTCTGCCAGTGCTACGGAATGGACGAAATGACGTCAATGAACAATTAATAATGGGAGTTATTAATGGCTCGATGCGTCATCGAGCTGTCAGGGCCATATGTAAAATAACAGTTATTTTCAGCTCGAATTTAGGGAGCCGAAAAACCCTGCTACTGTCATATCCGGGTCGCTTAGCGCCTCTATCTTTTGAAATCAAATATTATATGTGGAATGTTACGAAAGTAACATAAATACGGTACCGTTGCTCAAAATACATATGAATTTCGAGTCATCTGTGTCAAAAGCACCAATACTTATGCCGTTTTGACAGTATTTTTGACAGTACCGTTGCTCGCTTTGTAACATGCCATGCAACATTTTGAAACCAAAATGTTACTCTTTGCCATAAATATTCGTGTCGTACCATAAGTAATTTTCAGGCAGGATATCCATCGCTCAAACAAAAAAGTTACTTTTTGCCATAAATATTCTATCTCAACACGAGTAAATTTCAAACAGTATTCATCAACAAAAAATTACGCTTTCTCGATCCTTCTTCTTTGCGAGAGATGCAGGCTTAAGCAACTGCAGAATGACAAGGAACTATGGACAATGCAGTCATGATGGAGGAAGAAGCTGCCAATAGTGACCATCTTGACGCTGGGAGGAGGCGCTTTGCACCACCAGAAGACGAGGCTACTTGGCATATGCCAACAGATGATGAAAGGTATCGCCCATACATTACTTCCTTGATGAATTTTTTCCATGATCCAGATCCCCCCTACACCAAGGACACTGTATTCACACGGTCACAACTATTGGGGATAAATCCAACTGTTATCAAACGCTGGTTGGTGAATAAAGCATACGGAAAGGAGGAATATGACCGAAAGCGTGATGTTCCACAAGGAGCTAGAGCGTCTTTGCTTGAGATGATGAAAAAGGCTGTCAGCTACTTCATGACAAACAGAGCTGTTGCATGGGTGAATGGAGCTGGCAATCCGACAAGGCATGCAAGTGTTCACGAGGTGATTGCAGATGTGAAGAAGGCTGAAGCAAGACACCAAGGCAGGTCTTCACAAGCAACACGACCATTGAGAGAACCCGAATTCCGGAAAAGTCTTGAGATGCTGAAAAGAAAAAGCGATTGGAATTCTCAATATAAATATTCCATTATGTCCCTTTGGCAGTTTGCTATTATTGCCCGAACCGACGACATTGTGCACTTTGAGGTCACTCACCCACGAGGCAATCCCAAATTCCCTTTTACACTTAAATTAAAGGTATTCTGGTCCAAAAATATTAATGAGGAACGCCAGTGCCCAGATCAGATCCTCTTGGGGCCCATGGATGATGACATCTGCATCCTGATTAACTTATCAATCTATTTGGAGTCGTACCTGGAACAGTTCCCACAAGCGGTTTTATTGTTCACAGAGGATCTAGAATTGGCGAATGATGCAGCAACAGAACGTCTGAAAGCTAGATATCGGAGTGCTTTGAGGAGCACCTGGAACACAGCTGAATTCAAATCAACTATTGATGAGTCAGACTTTGGTCTCAAGATCGGAACTCACAGCCAGCGGAAGCTCCCGGCAACCTATGCATCAAACAAAGGTTGTTCTAAACCAGAGATTGAGATCAGGGGGCGCTGGCAAGGTGAGGCAGGAAAAGGCCCCAAAGTGGTGGATCGATACATTGATAGGAAGCATGAGTACATTGATGGGAAAGTTGCGGCTGCACTTTGCATTGGAGGCCCAGTGAAGTACAAACTCAAAGAAGGTGTGGAACTACCAGTTGAATGGCTCTACGAGAATGTTATTCCTAACATCAGGGCCAAATTTCCGCGGGATAATCGTCTTTGTCGTGTTTTGGCCTTGACGCTGCTGTATGCTTGCATGCACGAAGACATCCTGGTGCCGCCTGGTATTAAGAGTCGTGTTCGAACTGCCTATGGCGAACTGAATCAGGATACACAACAACCAGTCGAGAAAGTGCCCTTATTTGTGCATAGGAGGGATGACCAGTTGATGATTGATGAAGCCATTATTATAGACGGTGATGGGAGCACTGGTGCTGGTGGAGGTGTGGTGGCAGGGAACTCGACTTATGACTTGTTCCAAAGCATCCAGATAAATATCCAGCAACTACAACAGCAATTGAACAATGTTGCTGCTCGATCTGATACAAATTTTTCAGATTTGAGAGCCTACATCCAGCATCGCGATCGAATTCTAAACAACAATATTCGTGCTTTTGGCGGAACAATTGAAGGTGGCTTGCAAATCCAACAAGCAAATGCTGGTCGCAGACTACTGCCGCTTGCAGCAAGAGGAGCAAATGTGGATGTGGGTCCCGTCGAAGCTGCGAACATGGCTATTCTATCGGGTAATCCCAGGTCATTATACGGACTCTGGCGGGAGTATCAGCATGGGATTGCTGGTCGGAAGCCTGCACGTTATTTCACGGCAACAGAACGAAACTGTTCTCGTCAAATGAAGCAAAAGTTCTATCGTAGGAAGCAAGTCTGGGATACAATTTCACGACTGGTTGCAAATGGGCACACTGTTCAATCCATTGATGGGAAAGTTGCGGCTGCACTTTGCATTGGAGGCCCAGTGAAGTACAAACTCAAAGAAGGTGTGGAACTACCAGTTGAATGGCTCTACGAGAATGTTATTCCTAACATCAGGGCCAAATTTCCGCGGGATAATCGTCTTTGTCGTGTTTTGGCCTTGACGCTGCTGTATGCTTGCATGCACGAAGACATCCTGGTGCCGCCTGGTATTAAGAGTCGTGTTCGAACTGCCTATGGCGAACTGAATCAGGATACACAACAACCAGTCGAGAAAGTGCCCTTATTTGTGCATAGGAGGGATGACCAGTTGATGATTGATGAAGCCATTATTATAGACGGTGATGGGAGCACTGGTGCTGGTGGAGGTGTGGTGGCAGGGAACTCGACTTATGACTTGTTCCAAAGCATCCAGATAAATATCCAGCAACTACAACAGCAATTGAACAATGTTGCTGCTCGATCTGATACAAATTTTTCAGATTTGAGAGCCTACATCCAGCATCGCGATCGAATTCTAAACAACAATATTCGTGCTTTTGGCGGAACAATTGAAGGTGGCTTGCAAATCCAACAAGCAAATGCTGGTCGCAGACTACTGCCGCTTGCAGCAAGAGGAGCAAATGTGGATGTGGGTCCCGTCGAAGCTGCGAACATGGCTATTCTATCGGGTAATCCCAGGTCATTATACGGACTCTGGCGGGAGTATCAGCATGGGATTGCTGGTCGGAAGCCTGCACGTTATTTCACGGCAACAGAACGAAACTGTTCTCGTCAAATGAAGCAAAAGTTCTATCGTAGGAAGCAAGTCTGGGATACAATTTCACGACTGGTTGCAAATGGGCACACTGTTCAATCCATTGATGGGAAAGTTGCGGCTGCACTTTGCATTGGAGGCCCAGTGAAGTACAAACTCAAAGAAGGTGTGGAACTACCAGTTGAATGGCTCTACGAGAATGTTATTCCTAACATCAGGGCCAAATTTCCGCGGGATAATCGTCTTTGTCGTGTTTTGGCCTTGACGCTGCTGTATGCTTGCATGCACGAAGACATCCTGGTGCCGCCTGGTATTAAGAGTCGTGTTCGAACTGCCTATGGCGAACTGAATCAGGATACACAACAACCAGTCGAGAAAGTGCCCTTATTTGTGCATAGGAGGGATGACCAGTTGATGATTGATGAAGCCATTATTATAGACGGTGATGGGAGCACTGGTGCTGGTGGAGGTGTGGTGGCAGGGAACTCGACTTATGACTTGTTCCAAAGCATCCAGATAAATATCCAGCAACTACAACAGCAATTGAACAATGTTGCTGCTCGATCTGATACAAATTTTTCAGATTTGAGAGCCTACATCCAGCATCGCGATCGAATTCTAAACAACAATATTCGTGCTTTTGGCGGAACAATTGAAGGTGGCTTGCAAATCCAACAAGCAAATGCTGGTCGCAGACTACTGCCGCTTGCAGCAAGAGGAGCAAATGTGGATGTGGGTCCCGTCGAAGCTGCGAACATGGCTATTCTATCGGGTAATCCCAGGTCATTATACGGACTCTGGCGGGAGTATCAGCATGGGATTGCTGGTCGGAAGCCTGCACGTTATTTCACGGCAACAGAACGAAACTGTTCTCGTCAAATGAAGCAAAAGTTCTATCGTAGGAAGCAAGTCTGGGATACAATTTCACGACTGGTTGCAAATGGGCACACTGTTCAATCCGCGATTGAACGAATTAAGCAGGTGTACGGCTAGAATGTCTCAGTCACCAGGATAATCGATGGAATCATACGAGACAAACGGCAATATGGTGGACCTCATCCAAATCTAGTGTAACAATTGAATTAGTTTTATGAATATGGTTTACATAGTATGGTGTAATTGCTGCTTGATTGCTTGCTTTTATGTAGCGATATTGTAGACGGAAAGTTCACTGGTATTTTGTCTTGTTCGATTTTCCTCTTTGATGTGTTTCCAGTTTGTTTGGTTTGGGTGAGCATTTTGATTGGCTGGAAATGTGCCAGTGGCTAGAAAGGTGCGACATGCGTACATAGTGTACCATGTTATACGAGTAACATAATGCGTACACATAGATCGACGGTATTACCACAGTAGTTGCAGGAACAGGTTTTTGCCAAAAATTCCCACAACTATTTTTTTTAAAGTAGTTGTGGGAATCGGAAAAATCAAATCGTTTGGCAAGAGAAAAAAACGTTTGGCTACCGTAGAGAAAAAATTGTTTGGCTACCGTAGAGAAAGAATCGTTTGAAAAAAGTTGTTGAGGAAACAAATCGTTTGGGATAGGCAGTGGGAATCCCCGGATTTCTCCCCTAGTTGCGAGATTTCCCCACAGCTCAATTTTCCCCACAACTAGTGTCTATTCTACCGCGCGCCTCATATGAGGCATATGCCTCATATGAGGCAGCTTTTGACAGTCCTACCTAACTACCATAAACATGTTTAACAAACCTCCTGCTTTAAGAGCGTATTCCTTGGTATTCAATCTTTCATGTTTTCTATGGGGTCACTGGCTGAAAATTGAAAGATATTCTTCGTCAAAGGTGCTTCAATGCGCTTTCGTGTGCAAAAAAAAATGACATCATCACTGCTGTGTCCCACAAAAGGCTGAGGACTAACTTAGGCACAGTAGCGATTGAAAGATTGCTAAAAAGATATTATGAGCTTAATGGAGAACTACTTCCCTGGGCAGAACGCGATAGCCATACTGACATCAGAAGAGAAGGTGTGTACTGGAGACACACAACTCCTACTGCAGTCTTGATAAGTTGTATTTGTCAGACTGTCGCCCCCTCATTGCCATGTCACTGTCAGCTCGTAGCATAGGTAATAGATGTACTCGACATTTGGCAAAATTGCTTTTGACAAGACTACTGTGGACATGCTGAGTAAGGGGGCGTTTGTAGAAGTACTCATATCAGAGTAATCGATGTTCATTCGACTGATATGATTCGACTAGTTGGACTAGTGGACTAATGTGAGCCACGACATTCTGCCACCCAAGGTTATCCTCTAGATTCCAGAGGACCCGACGCGGGAGATAGAATGGAACCTCGCAAGTAGGATGAAACCACTTCATCGTCGGTAAGGTTTGACTCGTCGTAAGGAGACGCGTTCAATTACATGAGGAGCAAGTCGAATGGTAAGGGCTACATTAGAGTGAACTCGTTCAATACGATATGGTCCATCGGCTCGATGGTTGAGCTTGTTTGGCTTATAGCAAAGCTTTAGAACTTCCTGGCCGGTCTGATAATCATAAGCAAATTGGCGACGATTGGCTTGTATCAATTCTTTGCCAATGAGCTGTTGTCGATGTTGTTGAATGAGCTGAAGGTCAGCTTGCATTGGAAGATCTAGGATCATGTCATTGTTCCTATTTGATTAATGTTTGGCTTGAATTGATGATTCAATCACAAAAGTAAGTTCAACCTTGTTTACAGAACTTGATTCGACCTCTACAACGATTCTGTGTTGGATACAGTACTTTGGGACATATTGGACTTGCAGTGTCCTCTCGCGATAACCATTCACGAGTTCCATCGCCTCGGAATACTAGGCGACCTTTAATTGTCTTTTCGAATTGCTTCTCCACGAGTAACATCATTGCTGATTGGGCCTTCTTTTGCTCAGATGCGGTCATGTCTTTCACAAATTTGGGAGTGAAACAATCTCTCAGGAGCATTTGTCTCAATTCCTTATCCACAGCATCCTTTCCATCATCACCAAACTTCTTCAGTCCTTGATTGATGTAATACTGTT